GTTTCGCTGGGGGAACTCGCCGAAGCTGCCTGGACCGCGAACACGCTGTTGTTCGTTGGCGTGCGCACTTCAGCTATCTTATCAGCCATTTTTTGCTAAATTGTCTAAGGATTCCGAACTTATTGATAAAATGGCATGCACCTCGGAAGGTAACCTTTGCAGCCATAATGATTTTAAAAATTCGTCAGTTATTACAGTTTTCCACCTAATTCTCTCATTTTTCTCAATAAGTGAGATGGTTTGTCGTCCCCTAAATGCAATTCAGAAATAAGTCTGCGTATTTGCTCGCTTTCCGAATCTGAGAATTCTACTATTAACCTAGCTTTAAGGGCATCATATTTAGCCGTCGCTGGGGGATTAAATAAAATATCTGATACTGCGGAAAGAGTTTCAGGGTCTATCGAAGAAACCACGTGGTTGTATTTTGTACTATCGCTACTAATCTTCGCTAAAGCAAAGTTACTTTCAACTTGAATAAACCAAAGTTTAACATTTTTTTTTCCATAAAGGGGGAATTTTAACTGCCACGTGTGAGATTTGTGGCTCCTGAACCGCCATATTCGATTCCTCGTTGGTTTGGCCTTCCGATCCTGGCATGGTTGCCAATTATAAATATATCGTAAATCGTAAACTTAATGTTTTGCACTATACCTTATCAAAACAGTATCAATTTAGAATAAAATAATGAAGACATTCAATATCTCAATAAAAGTGTGAGCACGAATATTACCCAAAGATCAATTTTAAACAATCAATAATTAAATTAAAACTATAATTTTAGAGCAAAACATATCACAAAAACATAATTAAGACCAATCACAGATAATTAAAAAAAATTTGACCACATACCTGTAAATCCTCCTCCTTAAATGTGATAAACCACGTGTAATCCGTACGATAAAATGAGGAGGAAATAAATAGGGTTGAGCCTTTATCAGTCATAAGGAAGAGCATTGGCATCAAAATAAGGCATATTTTTAGTTTTTAAACAAAGATTGAGACAGATAGTCATTAGGGATCGAAACAGAAGGAGCGAGGGACAGGGTCACCAATGATGTACGTGTGAGTAACACGTGCATACGAAAATATCCCTAACATTAACTAGGAAAGCCGAAATCTTAGTTAGGTAGACATGTTACAATTAATAATCAAATTTAATAAGGAAAAGTAACAGTTGCCGGGTACATTATAACGGCTTAAGAAATTCAGAGCACAGTACAGATGCGAGTACACAAGTTCACATATTCTCGGCGAAAACAGAGACGCACACATTTGTTGAAGTAGTTCCACTTGACTGCCGGGGAAAAATCTTTCTCTCCGTCAGCCTGTAGGTTTGCCAAACGGGTTTACTGTTTCGCCAATTGGCGCTTTTCTGTACAGTTTTTAAGTCCGTATCGCCTGTTTGGCGCTGCCGCTGCAAGATCTTGAGGTAAAAGTGCCCATTCCTCAATCAGTATCTGTTTCATTTGTTGGGTGCTCCCCGGTGGATGTAATCGTGCCGCAAGATGTCTTCCCAAAGCATCCCACAATTAAATGAAGGGCCAATTTATTCGAGTCATATTTTCACTTTCGAGTAGCTTCTGAACAGCAGGAGTCCGGTGTGGCAGTGCATTGTCATCTGTATAAACGAAGTCTGATCCAATGGCTCCTTGGAACAGATGCACATGGGGAAGGATAACCTTCTGACAATAGCGATCTCCAGTTACAGAACCTCTGTCAAAAACATGGAGCTCTGTCCGCTAGTTCAACAGAATGCCTCCTCAGATGAGAACTCCAGGACCACAGTAACGGTCTCTATCCGTGATGTGACTGGAATGAAACAGTGTCTCAATCTCTCCAAATCAACTGAAGTTAAGAATCGCTTGTGGAACTAAAACGACTCTCATCTGTAAAGAGGACACGGCTCCATTGACGAAATGTCCAGTTTTTGTGCTCCTTGCACCACTCTAAACGGTGGTGCCGATGGCCAACTTTCAAAGAGATGCTGCGTTCAGGATGGCGGGCAAATAAGCCATCTTTGGGAAGGCATCTGGACACAGTAAACCACAACACTCAGTGCCACCCCTTTGCTGTACTCTGTTGCCGAGCTATGGTGCTTGATGACTGGTTTCGAGCTCTTTTCGCCTGCAGGACGACATATGGGTCATCCCACTGCAATTGCTTTCCTGGGGCGGTCACCATCAATCTTTCGAACAGCTGTACCTATGTTTTAGAAGACTTTCCAAGCGCGCGAAGTGACACTTTTGTTAATTCCAAACTCTTCAGCTAGACTGGTCACGCTACGGCCCCTCCTCCACCTTTCTGATCATTCTTCGACATGTGAAGTCATCCAGGTGATTTCTTCTATCCATATTTCATGAAAATTTACATGTACTTGCACTGAGTGTCTTTAATTGCGTCTCCCTTCTTCCTTTTAGTGTAGTCTTGAGTTGAGCGTGCAGACTGCACGCATACGCTCACGTCGCCTGTGCGGTTTTGTTCCTGACATTTGCATATGCCAGACCTTTCTAATGAATTGCTTGTTCATTGTACCAGGGTTGCCACTCAAACAGGAGAATGAAATTACCAGACTTTAAATCCAAGGATATATTATCAAGGAAAATTCCCCTAATCTCAGAATCCGCGTAATGTCCCACCGTTGGCCAGATTACTAAGATTTTGTAAATGTAATTATGGTATTACTTGTATTGAGTAGCAAATTCACTTAATTATTCACTAAATCCCAGAGTGACATTTATTCTTAATTATTCTTGGTATAATTCGTTTGATAATTTTGTTTACTTTTCCACTTAAGAAGCTTAATAAAATTTAAGAATATATACATTGGATAACAAATTGTATGTTTTATTTAATTATTACTCATGATCATCACCAGTTCAATATGAGGTTAATCCGGTCCTTATAAATCACAATGCAATGCTAAATAGTTAGGTTAGATTTTAGGTACAAATTTAATTTGCTGTGAGGTATCTTCTTAAAAGGTACCTTAACACTTGAAAACACAAATATAATTATAATAGTTTGTTGTTTTCTCCACTGAAGATTGAGATTAGAATTTTCCCAATCTGGAATAAAATAAGGGTTATTTTGCAGACATTCTGCAGCTAAACGAAAGAAAGAAATCTATTTTAATAAATTGAGATATTTTATATTTATTTTCGCAGCATACATAAGGAAAAAATATGTGCATTAAATTTCGTGTGATTGTATGTCATCATACTGCTATAATTAATTTCAGGATTATGCCAGAGAAAATTTCCTGAAATTTGGAAATATTATTTACTAATAATAAATAAATTTAGAGGGAAGAAGCAACATTAAATTATATGAATAACATAAAAATAATCACTTAAAATTGAATTAGAATAATCAATGATATTTTAGCGAATATAGTTATATTCATGGCTAGCCTAGATGACTGATTACTATTTTTTTATTTTACTGCAAAATGGCAAGGTATTTATTAAAAAGAAAAAAAAAAAAAAAAGGTTTTTTAAAAAGATTTTGTGGTAAAATTGTAGTATACGGTAAGGCTTTGGCACGATTTTGAAAATTGTCGCCAAGACCAAAATGACCCGTTTACTGCGCACCAAGATGTCGCCAAATCCCATTATTATTATAACCAAAGAACGTCTATGTAAAGAAGAAAAGGTTCCATACAAGTAAAATGCTAGTACGCCGCTAGAATGCGGAGGGAAAATTTGCCAAGGGATTTGGCGACGGAACCTGGCGGCCAGAATCTCCCTCTCCGCGATGTGTAGAGGAAATTGAGAAACACGTGTTAAGAAGAAACGCTCTTTAACAAAAAGAAAACTACGAAAATCCGTTTTTAAATTATGCGAAAAATCCAAGAAGAAACGGTTTTATCAAAGGACGCAATAATTGGATTTTTCGCAATAATTTTAAAAAACGGATTTTCGTAGTTTTTTTTTCCCCCCTGAAAATAACTAATCCATGAATTAATTTACTTGCGCCAAAAAATATTTTCTTTTTCTTTAGAGTTTAATCACTTGCGCTAAGACTAAACTTAACATTGCGGGTGCGTGCGCTACAATATACAAGCCGTAAAGTGTCTCATTTACGCCGCTCCGCATCTGCGAGTGCAATCCAGTGCTGTAACTCGAGAAATAAACAATCTCGTTGTTAGGCGACGTGTGCACCACGTTATTTTCATTTTTGCGATAAATGCTTATCGACGTGTTCACGTCGCTCGCGATTTGAGACAAAAGCATCTTGACGTGCGTGGCATGTCTTTCTAGCGCAAGTGGTTAAAGAAATTTTAAACGATATTCATTTTATGAACTCTTGATAACGTGACCTTCGAACTTCGACACCGGTTTCGAGCTTTGGCAACAGATATATCAGACATGCACAGCTGTTTTTCCTCTATGATGGAACGGAGCACAGTCACGTCTGTTGCAGAGAGGTTTTCCTTCTTTACAATACATATCTTTGATTCTAACCTCCATGGTACTGTATACTAGATTAAACCCATTTTGTTTTTAACGAGAACAGGTACTTTCTTTAGTTCATGCACTGCACATGCGATTCTCGAGAATATTGGAATCCAAAAGTTGCTTTGCCTTTCTAAAGGAACAATCAAATTGGAGCTGCGAAAAATTGGCTCTATGCCAGCTACCCGAATGACACTCACGTGATACATAATTCGCCAAAAAAGTTACCTCTTCCGACGTCGGCGCAAAAATCGCTTTTTATGGGCGGGATCGTTGTATGAACTTCCCCTGACTTTTCCAGATTTTGACAAAATACTTAAATTCCCTGACTTTTCCCTGAATATTTTGGTCAATTTTTGAATTCCCTGACTTTTCCCGGTTCTCCCGGTTTTCCAGGTAGCGTGGCAACCCTGTTGTACTCATCACAAGAACCCCTTTTCTGCAATTTCATGACTATCTGATTAAAATTAATATTGTCACTTAAGTTTTGCACATCAATGTAATTTCTATAGTACAACATTATAGTTCACTTAAAAGCCTACTTACAAACCATAGGAACATCATCAGCATCTTTCACTCGCTTTATCTGAAAGTAAGAAAATATATATATATATATATATGAAACAAATTTAAACACTTAATTTTATATATATTGATAATTTTTTTCTTAATGTTACCCCAATAATGTGTGCCAAGGCACCTAATGTCACATCATGAATAGCTTATACTCATGCACAAGGCTGATTAATATGTGCAACACCAGGCTGTGTCAATGTTTTTTTTTTTTTTTTTTTTTTTTTTAAGAAAAACGTCAGAGAATTGCATAAATTTCAACATCATGTGCATTAAATATTATATACATATATATTACATAATACATTATTATTTATTACAAGTTAATTTTTTTGCATAAAACATTTCATATTGTTAGGGTTGCCACCAACTACTTAGATTTTGCACCAACAGTTATGTTCAGCCCTAAGTGGCACTCTGTTTAACAAAAAGGTATAAAAAGTTTAAAAACAACATGAAAATTTAAAAAAGAAAGAAAAAGAAAATAATGGCTAATTGATAATTTATTGAAAACCAGTTTTCAAATGTTATAATAGAATTAGAGTGCATCTTACAATATTCTAATATTGAATGGCAGTACAATATTCTGATTCTTAATAATATTTTGATATTTTTTAAAGACAAGAACATTGTTGATAATATTATCTGCAATTTGAACTGAACCTTCTATGCAGTAATTTAGTGTTATTTATAAACATCAGTATGTTATTTAATTTATATTTCCAAAAAGCCTACACATGAAGATAAAGGAAAGATAAATATCATTATAACAAAATCATATATGATGATGATAAAATATGGTTAAATTAGATGGCTGAAATGGTGAAACCTCGAAATAATAATGTACAGTACAAAGTCTGAAATCCGAACGTTAATTATCCGGAATGATCTAAAATCCGGATCTCAAAGCCACAAACTTTTCTTTTTCGTATGCTTTACACATGCGCATTTCATTTTTCCTTCCATAATAAAACATGTGGAGATTTTCACTTAAAAATTTTGATTCTTAATTTCACTTAGGCACAAGTATATGTGGAAGTTTATTTACTCAGGACTCAGATTAGTTTTTGCAGACTGTTATTATTACAGCAATTTTATAAAAATTAAGCTTGAACTTTCGATTATGTCGAAAAGAGTTTCCAATTCTGGAGCTGCCAAAGGATCTACTAAGTGAAAGCATGTTTCGATGTCCATTAAACAAAAAGTGAAATTGCTACAAAAAATGGATAAAGGCAAATCAGTCTCAAAATTATGTGAGGAGTATGGCTTTAGAAAGTATGGTATATGACATAAGAAAAAGGAACTTTTTGAATTTTTTGTGGATTCCGACACCCCACTCGCGATGAATAACAGAAAAAGTGTTCATTATGCTAAAAGTGATGATCATGACAAAGTGATGATTGAATGGGTCACACAGAGTAGCAGCGAGGGTATGCCATTGATGGGTCCAATGTTAATGGCTCAAGCCAAAATATTTCATGAAGAAATTAACTTAAACACTAAGTGCCCATATTCAACAGGTTGGTTAACCAAATTTACAAATCGCCATGGTATAAGACAAAAATTTCAGGTGAAAACGCTTCAGCTAATACTGAAGCTGCTGAACAACTTGCAGATGAATTCATTGAACTCATTACTAGTGAACAATTACCTGCAGAATAAATTTACAATGCTGATGAAACTGGTCTTTTGTGGCAATACATACAGTGAAATACCTTGGCAACCTCTACAGAAAAGATTCCAACTGGTGTCAAAAATTCCTAAGCAAGACCAAGACTAACAATTTTAGCTTGCACTAAAGCTTCAGGAACGCACAAATGCAAGCTTTTTGTAATCGGAAAACATGCAAGACCTTGAGCATTTAAAGGAGTAACGATTTTCCCCGTTATACATCGTGCAAATAAAATAGCATGGATGACACTAGCATTAATGAATGATTGGTTTGAAAATAATTTTATACCCGAGACTCGGCAACATTTGAATTCGGTTGTTTTACCTAATGACTCAATATTCCTGATTGCAGATAACTGTTCGAGTTGTACTTCACTTAAAGTTTTAGTGAAAGATAATGTATCCGTATTATTCTTCCCTCCAAATTGTACATCTGTCATTCAGTCTATGGATATCGGAATAGTGCGGGCACTGAAATGCAAATATAAAGTAGCATTTTTAAAAATCTATGTTAAATTTCTTGAACAAAGGCAAGACCATTCAAGAATTTTTTAATATTTTAGCATAAAATCTGCTTAGTGGAGCATCGCAAGATCATTAGAGGGTGTGTTTTCAGATATGTTAAAAAATGCTTGGTATAATTTATGGCCAGCTACCATATTTCATAGTGAGGACGATGAAGCAGCGAATTGAAGCAGCAATGATAGCAGCGAATTTGAAGGGTTTCAGATATCGCAAACTAAAGGTGAAATTTTCCAGTTAAGGGATTTTTTAAAGAAATGTGGAGAAGTGGTAATAAATGAAGATGATATAGCAGAAGTTTTTCATTGCGATGACAATGCCCCAATCATCAATCCATTAACAGACGGAGACATCTGTAGTATGGTTCTAGACCCAGAAAATATCACTGAAAATACTACTGATAGTGAAGAAAGTGACACAGAGGTTTTTGAAAATGAAAAGATATCGATTGACAAGTTAATTGGTATTCTCGACACAGCAATTACAGGACTCAAATAGTGGAACTTTGTAACTGAACAAGAAATTATATAAGTTTATAAAATTAAAGAGAAAGTATTAGCACAAAAAACGAAGCAACTTAAAGAACATTTAAATAAAGTTCTTTCAACAATGAATTCTATTGATCCTGCTATTCAGTTCACTTTTGAACTTGAGACTTGCAATTCTCTTCCATTTCAACATTCTGGTCACACGTAACACATCCAACTTCAGTACTACGGTTTACCGTAAACCTTCATCAGTTTGCTTTCCACCACACTTTAAATCATGTCATCCAACTAAAGAAAAGTTAGCTTCATTTTATTCCTATGTTTTCCGTGCTCTTCAAGTTTGCTCCTCCAAACTAGCCCTTGATGAAGAACTAAATTATTTAAAAGCAATAGCTATTGACAGGGGCTCTTCACCCAACATTATTAATCAAGCAGTTAAAAAATTCTCATCTCAACACACTAAAAGGCACACTCTTGTTTCAGGAGATTATAAAAATTCTGTTGTCATTCCCTTCTTTCCATCAATTAGCTATAAAGTTGCACATATTTTGCAGAAATTTAACTTTTGGGTTGTTCATTCTTCCATCAATAAAATTCCGAGTTCCATACTCAAGGACCCCATTCCGGATATGAATTCCTGGGGTATTTATAGGATTCCTTGCCAGTGTGGTTTAATTTACATTGGCCAAATTAAGAGAGCCTTAAAATTTCGCATCAAGGAACATGAGGCATATGTTATAAAAAAGGAAACACAGAAGTCTTCTGTTGCTCAACATTGTTGGTCCCAAAATCACACTTTCAATTTTTCTGCTGCCAAAATTATTCAAAAAACATCTTCCATTGGAGAACTGGATTTTCTAGAGGCATTTCACATTCATAAAAATCTTTCTGTCCTAGTTAACAATCCTAATTCCAATCCAAATTTGCCTTCGGCCTTTAAAGAAATTATGTTTTAGTTCTGGTTTCACCAACAGATGGCGCCACTTACTTATTCTTGTCCAGGCTTTCTTATCTTATCTAATCATTATTTCCTATCTTGTTCATTTGCGGTTTTGAAGCTGAGGATGGTGGTTTGGTAAAAAACCATCGAAACTACTGCTATGAAAATTTTGTAAATATAATGCTGATTTTTGTTGTTTGACTTCTGAATTAGTATCAAGGATACTCTCGACAATATTTCTGAAATTCTTTACATTGAAAGTAGTAAATTGATTTGTTGCTCTGCTGCTGGATGTTCAGAAAGAACTGATGTATCAAAAAATTAAAATTAAGTTTTTATAAGTACATTGTTTACACAAATAAAGTAATTTACATTCCCCCCTCCAATTCCCATTGTTTCTGCTTTCTTTTGCGTCACATTTCCCAAGACACATGAATTTGTACAAAATTAAACTTGTATGAATTTAAAAATTCAGAATAAGTTGTTAAGTTCATTAGAATTACAAATTATTTATCTGATGTCCTAAACAGCTGAAATTTAAAACAGATGTTGGGAGATGAACCATGCATAAAATGGAAATATTGAAATCTCTAGGCAATGCCTTATGGAAGCTGATGTATATTTAATTGAATTAATTGGAAAAAATAACTTATCTTTTCACATGAAAAGAGAAGCATTCTAGGTTTTAAAATAATAGTATAAAGCATTTTATTTCTTTTAGAAAATACTGTTCTGAATTCTTGAGTTTTTAAACATTTTTCTTCAAACAAATTCAATTAAGATCACTAATTACTTTTCTTACCTGTAAGAGCTCATGGTGGATGCCACAGCAAACAAACTGAAAAGCAATTTCAGTCATCCTACAAGAAATTTCTTGTGCATCGTGAATTACATAAGGATTCAAATGGGAACTGTATGAAACTGAATGACGTAAATATAATTTGCATACCAGCATCAAAATCTATAAACTATGGTTAATAACCAGAATATATCTGCAGAAAGTATAGTAAATTATAAATCTCTGAAAAACAGGATTTTTATGTATTGAATGGCAATTTCCAAGCTGTTGAATATACGAGATCTGATGTAATCAAAAGTTTGACTGATGACATGGAAGCCATAACAGCATACATTGCTGGTTTTATTATAAGAAATTTAGAAACTAAACTGTAAACAATGCATTTTAGCTAATGGAGTAGCCCTAGTGTGCTTTGCCATAATTAATACACCAAAACCTTAGTTATAAAGAAATTGAGCTTTAAAGTGTGTGCATTTGTGTTTTCATGCTATAGCAGTCAGTTATAATGAAATTGAGCTTTAAAGTGTGTATATTTGTGTAATACTTCAGCATTTTAAAGGTACCTTAAGGTACTTATCATTCTTTATACATAACAAACATTTTGCTAAAATCAATATTTTGTAGTTCAGTAGCTTAAACTTTTATAAAACAAAGTCATAAACAAAATCGCTGTAGCAAGTTATCAAAAGATATCTAAGATATGATTTGTGTGGAAATGCAAATAAACACCTAGCAATGAATGTTTCTTTTCTGCAGAAGTATCCCTGCTTTCCGATTTGTGCCTAACTGTCATGCATATAAGTATTACCAACCCGCTATCAAGGCAACATGCTCTGGATTTAAACAAAAGTACCACACCTCACTTAGCTCCCAAAGCCAGGTAGCACTGCATCAGCCATGGTAGGAGGAAGGTGTCTCCTTCTATTCCTACCTACATGAAAGAAACAGACAAAGCTTTTTAAAAGTGGCTAGCTTTAAATAACCAAAAATTGCCAGACTCTACACTGTTAGCACATTATCCTCAGTCATATTATTATATTTTATTGGAATATCTTGATTCTTCATTATGCAATATGGTAGATCATTAAAGTTCTGCACTTTAAAGTGTGATAACTTTCAAAACACTTCTCTTTGTGCCAAGGGTACATTGCAAAATTTATACATATACCACGTTACACAGCGTATTTTCTTGATGGAATACACACAACATTGACAGAAAGTATTTTTCTTTTTTCCAGTTTCCACAATGGATTCTAATGTATGTTTCCTTATGTCCATGGAAAGTCTTCCTGGAGACTTGTTCTTTGCTGCTTTTTTTATAATGCCAAATGTTGACGGCATTGATTCTTCAGAGTTTTGACAAACTTCTGGTAGAATTTCATTAGTAAGCCAATGGACAGCTATGAGTTTCAAAAAATGTTTGCACCTTATTTTCTTTTCCTTTGTTGAATAATAAACAACAAATGAGTTGAACAATGTGCAATTTACACAGCAACTCATTTTGTCCATTTAGTTGTTTGTTTTTGAATCAAGTAATATGATAGATACTGGTCAGCCAGATAAGTGCTTTCGTGTACTTATTATAGTCAAATCAGCATGTTAGAAATCACATATTGTAGATATGAGAGGCATTGTTTTCTTTGATTGCCATACCTGTGCTAAAATATTTCTTTTCCTTCTGAAGGGCATTTCGCTTCTTCTCAATGAAATGGTTTTTAGGCAATTCGGGAGTTCTGGTTTTTTTTTTTTTTTTTTTTTTTTTTTTTTGCATAGTGCTGCGAATTCCAATTTTATTTTGTAATAGCCTTTCACCATCTTCAAAGCTAATGTAAAAGTTATCCAGGTAGATATGGTGCCATGATACAACTATTTGAATTGTTTCTATGAATCGTTTTCCTTGAGCACAATATATTTCAAATTGATGTACGCAGCCTGTAGTACTTTCCACACAGTATACAAACTAGAATTCTACCTTTTATTATCTTCACTGTGTTGTACACTCTGAAAAATAACCTCCTCCTCCAAGGCATAATGCCTTTGTCCAAAGGCAACTCCTGAATAGGCTTATAAACATTTATACACTTGGAAAATGGTCTGACTTTCAAAAGCCTGTCTGATTCATCAGTAGACAGAGCTTCCTGTCTTCATTACTATTAAAGTGCCATTCCTTCCATAACATACAAAATCTGTCTCTTGTCATAATTTTCAGAAAAAATGGTGTTTCTATATATATATAGATTCTGTGCTCTAATAATCCTCTTTTCAGTCCTTATGCACTTATCCCATAAGAAGAATAAACCCCAATAATTTCTTCATGTCTTGTACAATAATGTCTTTCCATTTAAGAGCTTTCTTTGAAGTTGTGAATTTATCAATATTTTGGTAATAATACAGTACAAAGTCTGTAATCCGGACACGACGGGGACTTCGGCGATTCCGGATTAGGGGTTTTTCTCGATTATAGATCATCAATTTAAATCTGGTAAGATAGCATGCAGAAATTATACAATTAAAAATATGAAATCGTAATTTAGGAAATAAAGAACAATTATGATCTAAAGTGTATCAAATTAAAAAAAAAAAAAAAGCTTAATATTTATTTGTTTACTTTATTAAACACTTTTTTCAATGTAAGTTGTTTAAGATGCTTCCACAAAAAATTCAAAAGTTCCTTTTTCTTGTGTCATATATAGTGCACTTTCCAATGCCCTACTTCTCGCATAATTTTGAGACGGATAGGCCTTTATCCATTTTTTTCAGCAATTCCACTTTTTGTTTAACGGACATCGAAGCATGCTTTTGCTTTGTAGATCCTTTGGCAGCTCCAGAATTGGAAACTCTTTTTGACATATTCGAGGGTTCGAGCTTAATTTTTATAAAATTTTTCTAACAGTCTGCAAAAAATAAGCCAGATCCAGTTAGAAGATTAAGGAACAGAGCAATCTGCAACATTAACTGAAATGCCTTAGATAATTTTAGCCTAGCTTATACCGTCCGTTATACATTAAACGTGTTATACAACACGTCCGTCCGTTATACATAAGCTTTGAGGTCCGCATTATAGATCATTCCGGATTATGGACGTCCAGATTACAGACTTTGTACTGTATTTATTTTACTCTTCCACATGGAATGTAAAAAAAATCATTTCCAATAAATAAAGCTACAGCGTTTGCTACACTATATGAAATGTTTCCTGTATTTATTCCTGAGCAACCTAAAAACTCTTCCAAGACAGGAAGCTCTATCTACTGATGGCCATTCTTATTCAGAATCAGAATCATACGATTTCAGCCTTGAAATTCTTTGTAAGATTTATTCCTAGTCTTTAGACTATTCATTGTCCTAGGACAATGTATTAATATCGCCATCACTAGAAGGCTCTTCCTTCCAATTTGGCAAACTATGAGCACACAATTTTTTATCATCTCATTCTATTATATTATTGTACATGCTTAGGAAGTTACAGTAAAAAAAAAATCAAATTAGGCTGGAATTACATGAATGCTAAATTGATGCTTTTAGTGATGAAGTTCAATTAGACAAACATACTTGTGGACAACATACGAGTAGCCTGCGATTAATGAAATTGTCGGCTGTATAAAACACATCCACCACTCAGCTTCCAAGATTTATGTAAATGCACAGGTGGAAGTTCCGGTCTCAAATGCTACTTTTGTCATTGCATAACAGAGTCAGCAAAGTGCATTCATAGGAATGCATTTTTGCAATGCAAGTTTTAATGTTGATATGTATGGGAGTCGACCTAGTTCTCATGTGTACCTGATTTTATTGTAAAAACATTACAAAAGTCCACCGATAAATTCCTAGAAAACAACTTTTGCCATTACCCACACTCGACTACCTATCCACACAAAATGACATTAATCGCTTCCCGTATTCGATTGCCAATCCACACAAAACAACTTTAATCGTTTTCGCACAAGATATGTTACTATTTTACTCGCTTCATGTGCTTACAGTATGTAATGATCTGCATAAAGACAATACGATAAGAAATATGACTATTATATTTTATGCAAACAAAGGCCATATACTTTATCACTAATTAGAACACTTTTTTAACTCTTTTAATAGCAATACAAGACACTGGAGGTCAAAATTTTAAAATTTTAGTAATTCTAAGCAAAGGTAGGATATTCAGTGAGTAAGATACTTATACAGAAATTGTTTTCAAGTTATAGATAAAATGCTATTAGATATGATATAGTGTGATGTGATTTGGCATGACAGTGTTGCATGATGTGCTACACTCTCAGAAACACTCTCATATACACAGAAATTAATTTGAAGATCAAAGTGATGAGTTTGTTGTAAGCAGGATATGCTACTCATTTAATCTAAATGAGTGTAATAGATAAAATTATATAAGCATGAAACTTATACATTTCTCTCATTATGAAATTTAAGGAAAAACAGCAAATACTCCAACTGAATATAACTTTAAAAATTTTACTTGTCAAAAAGGGCATTATATCATTTACGATATAATTATATCATTTACTTTGGTAGTATTGTTACTCTGCGCACTGAATTTTTCCCTGCAAAACAATCTAGCAATATATATTCATCAAATAAAAACAGCTTTCTTCAGCTTACCTGTTCTCTGTACATACTTATGTCTTCAAAAGATTTGGCATTATTAACAGCAAACACAAGAAGGAAACCTTCACCAGTCCTCATATACTGGTCTCTCATAGCACTGAAATAATAAAAAGAAAGATAAGTGTAGGGAAATTTACAGCAAGAATGATCCTGATATAATACAAACAAATTCATAAAGAAGGTCAAAATTCTGCACTCAAAAGGTGGCACTGAGTTGGCCCTCAAAATACTGTACCATTTTAGGCTAGAGTTTAAATAATAATTACTTATTTTAACCCTATAGGACTAAATGTAGGGGGAAAAAATCCCAATGCAGCACATAAATTTAAATAAATTACACACAATAAAAAATGTAATACATTAAAATAAATTATTTCAAATATAATACTTTATTCGTGACTATGCAATAACATTCGAGGGATATTTCAGTATGTTCTCTGTACCTCTGGACAATCCACAGACAACAAATATTTTAACTTGTGCTCTATATTCAAGTCTGCAGTCCAGAACAGTCCAAAGGAAGGCAACATAGCTAAGGGCCAAAAGCCATGCATTTATAAATAAATATTTGAATGGTTAAAAGAAAAGTGTTTAAAAAATTGCAGTTTAATTTCACAATTCATAAATTTTACAAAAAGTAAGAGGTCAAAAGTTAAAATTCAATAAAAAATAACTGAAGCAATTCTTAATGTCATCTTTCAATTACTACCATTCAAGCTGCTGCAATGCACAGCACTGCAATGTAATGAATGCCACTACTTAAGTGCACAGAATTAATACACATTATATTTAATCATCTGAATGATACATCTCAAAGATATACTTAATCATAATTAAGTATGCAGTTTCAAAATATCAAAACCAAATTGTACACATAAAGTGATAAATCATTATTAACTTGCAAACAAAACAAGTTACAAGCTGAAGTGGGATTTGAAACTAAAAAGCATGTCATTTGATAATCAACACTTGCGATCTATGTGACTTCAGAGACTAGTAAAGACAAGTATGATGTCTTACAATTAGAATATAAATATGAATAGAAGAAAAATAAGATTTTTAACACTCATAGAAAAATCATGTTGTTGTGATGGCATTTAAATTGGAATTGATTTCATAAAATACATTCTTCATGATTCTGAAAAAGGTACACACAAATTAGAATAACTATTACAAATGCAATCCATGCTGAAGGAGCAGCACTGTGATTACTTACACAAAAATGCTATTTCATGAAACAAAAAATTTAGAAAAGGACAAAGAGATATAGAGATACCCAAAGTACAGAGACTACACACCATCATATAACTAAGAAATTTCAATTAATATGATTCGAGGTTAAAGATAATATGGAGAAACTTATTTAAGAAGCAGAACTTTTTATCAGAAAAAGCACTGGGATCAGTTAAATTACAGATCTGGTGAGTTCTAAAACTCAGGTGGAGATGAGTAGTAATCTGTGCATAGAGCTACTCTTTGCTCCACCGCCTCGACAGTAGATGCCTGGACTTGCTCTCAGGAGGTATATCTCACGGAATAATAGTTTTCTTTCTACAGCACCTTCATTCAACTAGATAGCCACTTTATCTACAAGAATTCTGCTAATTTTGACTGTATACACAGAATCTTCTCTATTATCTTGCTTAGCATTGCGAATTGCTTTCACTTCATAATTGCCTTAACAACAAGATATGCCATTATTGCCATATGCTATGAGTATCAAAACATATGCTCTATATTTCACGTAATACACACAGGGTAGGGCAATGCCCAAGAATCTGCATCCATGACTTTGTCACCTGATCAGACATGGCTACTTTGCACCAGTCTAACTGACCCATGTGTTTATTACAGAGTGCTGCATGAAGATGATGGCAGCCATCAATTAGCCAAATGATATTAAAAAATAAACCTATAGAGCATGTTTCTTACTTAAATGAAGTAAGCACTTTTACATTTTGGAATGCATGGGGAATTTTAATAACAACAGTATATATTAGTTTCAATATGTTTTCAAAGAGGAATAATTTCAAATAGCAAATATATGTAAGTTAAATGCCCATCAGTATTCTCCCTATTAAGGAGATACACATACAGTCAAAAGTCGTTAATTCGGACACCCACAATCCGGACCTCAAAGCTACAAACTTTCTACGCATGCGTCACGTTGACACATGCACCTAAGACCTTTACGGCTGCGAATATGCATGTACGCATGCGCATAATACGTTTATGCATGCACGTTTAATGTATAATGGACAGTATAAGCTAAGCTAAAATTACCTAATTCAGTTAATGTTGCAGATCGCGCTGTTTAATCTTCGAATTGGATCCGGCTTATTATTTTTTGCGGACTGTTAGAGCAATTTTATAAAAGTAAGCTTGAACTTTCGATTATGTCAAATAGAATTTCCGATATATATTTACTAATATGTAAAGGATCTACAAAGCAAAAGTATGTTTCGAAGTCCATTAAACAAAAAGTGAAATTGCGGCAAAAAATGGATAAAGGCATATCTCTAACCATTCCGAAATCTGTTTATCAATTTCACGCTGCTTTGCGGGGGAGGGGAACGTTGCAGCGCGCAATAAACTGGAAGTTGATCTGTCAGCACTATCCATATCTTCAGGGCAGATGTTTTTATTTTATTCAGCTTATAGTTCATTACTAAATGTATTTCATCTCAATGTACTCTGTCTTTTATATGATTTAAATCAAATTAATTATAAATATCACGAATACACAACAAATACTTTTCTGGTTGCAATTTTCTAATTTCGACTATGCGTAATGTATGCTTTACGCATGTGCACGTTGAAAGAAATGTTTAATGAAGTAAACAAATAAATATTAAGCCTTTTTTTTTTTTTTTTTTTTGTAAATTTTGATACTATTTAGATCATAATTGTTCTTTATTTCATAAATTACGGTTTCATATTTTTAATTTTATAATTTCTGCATGCCATCTTACCAGATTTAAACTATAATAAGGAAAAATCGATAAGCCGGAATCGCCGAAGTCCCGACGAGTCCAGATTAACAACTTTTGACTGTATATTGATAAATAAATGAATGCAGCTTGATTCTTCCAAAATGAATTATTATATTATAAGTCTGGAAACCTATTCTATGCCATGAGAGTTGTCTTTAGTTTATTGGCCGCCAGATGTCGCTAGTAGTGAAAACCAGCTTCAGTCAACATTGCATAACCTGTGAGTACGAAACTAGTTAAAAAGGCGGGGAAAAGGGTTGCCACGTCGTCAATCAGGCTTGTGCAGTTGGCTGTAAAAGTTGATCATGGCTCAGTACGCGTTTTCATGTCTAATGTTTTCATATTTAATTGAAGAATATAACGGTAGATCTCTAAATCGGTATCGAATTTATCAAAAACATGACAATGCATTTCCTCTTATCAAAAATGTCTTTATTGCATACTTCAGACTGCCAAAATGTCATAATAATGTGAGCTGATCTGATAAAGTACTTATAGTCATGCTCAGAAAATAGAAATGTACTGAAAGAAAGTAGGCTCTTTACATTTTTTCTGAAACAAAATATATATATTTCCTTTTACAATGTATGAATGTATATTTTTCCAGTTTTTTGTAGAGTATTTTTCTAACAAATATTTTTCATCAATTAATAACATACAAGCATCCAAGAAAAACCTAACTAATTTATGTTCAACAAACATTAAGTGAATTTCAAAATATAACAGTCGAATACTTTACGAACATCATTGTGAACCCAACAAGTAATATCTTTCAATATTAAACGAAATTCACTTTCCTGTAATATATATATGTAAGATATAACAAAATACGAGGGTTGGAACTTTAATAGTGGCAACTATTTATTTACAAGGAATACAAAAGTGATTCATGTCACCATGTTTTACCGTCCTTCAATATAGTCGCCAGCATTGTGTACAACCCGTTTCCAACGATGTGGAAATCGCAGAATGATAGTTTGAATGGACCGGTCTACTGCCGCAAGAATCTCAGGAACAGTTTGGAAGCGAGTGCCACGAAGTGGTTCCTTCATCTTAGGAATTAAGTCATAGTCACAAGGGCTTAGATCTGGGGAGTATGGTGGATGGTAAAGCACTTCCCAGTCCCATCGCTTGAACAAATCAGTCACAGCTTGTGCTGCATGCGGCCGAGTATTGTCATGCAAAATGAGAGGAGACTTCTGCAAAAAGTGTCGTTTTTTTCTCAAAGCTGGTCGGAGTTTGTGCTCCAAAAATGAGAGCAGTAATACTGCGCAGTTACGGTCTTTAGTGGGGGAATGGTATGCGTTAGGATGACACCATCACAGTCGTACACGAGAATCACCATAACTTTCACATTGCTGGGGTTCTGACGAAATTTCGAACGTCGTGGTGACCCATGATGACGCCATTCATTTGATTGGCGTTTCAGTTCTGGCTGGTACGATCGGGCCCAAGTCTCATCCAGCGTAATGATACGGCATAAAAAAGCATCTCCTTCGCGCTCATAGCGCTCCAGGTGGGTTCGGGCAGCATCGTATCGTAGCCATTTCTGCATTTCCGTCAAATGATGTAAACCCATCATGAAGCAATTTTTCTCATGGACAGGCGTTCCTTCAGAATGTGCAGCACAGTCATATGCGCTAATCCTGTTTGTCCGGCCAGCTGGCGAATCGTTTGGCGGCGATCACTGTCCATTAGTGCGGCAACAGCTTGCACGTCTGCATCGCTGACACTCGGACGACCTGGCCGCAGCATGTCTGCCACGTTTTGGCATCCTTCATTGAATGCTTTCACCCATCTTGCTACGGTTCTGTAAGGCAATGCAGATTCCCCGCAAGCCTCTTGAAGTCCTTGATGACAATGTCGTGCTGTACAACCTCTGGCACATTCAATTTTTATCCAACATCATTGTTCTTGTTTTTGAAAACATCCTGACAACACTTACTTTAGACCGCGAGCTAATACAAGGATCCGTTCTTCGCGTCACTCCGCATGCACGTGATGTAGGCAGGACGAGTCTTTTCGCTGAGAGGTAAGGTAGGTATGTAGTTCACGTGTGGTATAGGCGATATTCATTGGTTTTGTCGCATAGCGTTTTTTCAGC